AATCTCAGTAGATAATTATTTGGATATCGAAGTTATGATTAAAACTACTGGAAAAGTCGAATTGTACAAATGGAGATCTCTGCTTCATGATATTCATCCGGCGTATGATAAAAATGAACATTGTGTATCACACATTGCTATTAATCCTGTAACTGGTAATAAATAGTTTTTCCTAAACGATCCAACCCATATTTCTAAAAGTCATACTAGTAATAATGGAAACAAAAATGTAAGAAAAATAATGTTTGACAGATAGAAAATCAGCTGGCAACATTTTCAAGAAGTATATCACCATACAGCCAAACATGAGATAGCAAAAGCTACTAAATTGACTAAACGACATATTTGGCTTACCCCTTGGAGCAAAATAAGAGTGAACCTTGCAGAACATACACTGTCATTCGATATCAAAAAAGCAATAGCAAATATTCCAGAATTAAATCACATTTCCCAAAGTACTCAGGTTTGTAGTTTTTTTTTTTGATTTAAGCTAGGATAGTCTTTTTTTTTTTATTGATTTATTTATTTATTTAAACCTCCTGACGTAATCGTCAGAGAACGTCGAATGACGTTATTTATTAAAATATGTATTTCTTCTCTTAAAGATCCACATTTGAATACCTTGAAGAAAATAAAACAATGGTTCATTCAAGGTGATAAACAAAAGAAAGATTCAAGTCAATGGTTTTCTGCGCAATGCCAGTTTGATTTGGTTTTATCAATAAATAGATTTCTTGAAATCGTAGAATATGTACTTACTAATTGGCCAGGTGCTATAATTTAACCAAGAAGACTATCTCAGGATATGCTTGAAGGTTTATTCAGATCAATTAGAGAAATAGCTGGTAACTCTTCCACACATACAGTTTAATCCTATGGATATGCAATAAACAAATTAACAATTACAATGCAAATAACATCAGAAATACAAAGCTTGAATTATGGTTTAGCTGATGGTTCGGGCTGTGTGCTTGCTAATTTAAAACGAAGGTAATTTTTGCTTATGCAAATTTATCAATAAGTTTTAAAATAATTTTTTTTTTTCTAGAGATTATTGAACAACTATAAAACCTAACAAGCAGAATTTAGAAGCATATAATCGCTATAAAATCCAAATTGAAATGCTTCCTACTTTCAGCTACCAAATATTTCAAAAACTTTTTAATGATGATCTGGTAATGGGACGAATGCAGCTGCCGCTATCTTCAAATAATAAAAGTATTAGAATAGAAAATAAAACTATTAATTGCTTGTAGCTTGAAAGAGTACGATTAATTGAATAGTTGTTATATAAGGATGGCATAGAGAATCTTTTGGTAACTTGGTCTAAAAATATTCGTCAAATGGCATTAGATTCAGTTCTATAAAAAAAAAATATTTATTGGCTTACAACATGGTCAACAAATCTGAAAAGTCGATTAAATAATTACAAGTGTGCGGGTGATTGGTTTAATAACTTTTAACTGTTGGCCCCAGATGATATTAAAGTAGAAACCCAATGATTGATAGCCTATATATTACTTGAAAAAATTATAAGAATCACATTTAAACAAGTATACAACAGACAGTATCATGATCAACTTTTTATGAATCCTACTGATTCATAGATTATACCTGGAAAAATTATTGACCTGGAACCTGCCGAGGCATCAAAATTTTAGTATATTATCAGATGAACTATCTACAAATTAACAAAAAGTGATAGATTAACATTAGCACTTGAAGAATTTGCAAAAATCGAATCATGTTTAAATGTTCTTAGCTCTGAGCAAGTAGAATACATATGTGATACTTGTTCAAAAACAACAATAGTTATTCCAGAAGCTGATTTTATTTAATTCATGTATTATTTAGAGTTGCTCATTTTTCAGCTATTTAAAAAACACATAGAGTATGGGCCAAATATTCTAATTTACATCGATAATAATCTTGTAAACAATCAACCTTTAAAGAAGCAGTTTAATGACCTTTTGCAAATAGCATATAAATTTTATTGTAATACTAAATATAAAAATAAAGAATTATTTTCAGAATTCATATATAACAGTATTCAATTATCACAAGAAGCTGAAGACTATCTATTAGTGCGTTTGATTAAAATTTACATGCGAAGCAGACAACGGTCCTGGTGACGATTTAAGGAATATATTCTAGAAAAAGGTTCATCTTGTTTATGAGAGAATGTTAAGGCAATAGGTGTAGATTTAAAAAATAATGCAAAAAAAGACGATCAACCAAAAATGAAACTTGTTACATTTAAGAAAGGGATGCTACCAGAAAATCTTGAGTTAGTACTTGGTCAGCTTAAGATTTGGGCTCGAGATAACAGTGCTAAAAGTGTATTCAAGAAAACATTTACGTTATCTGACCTAACGATTCTTGTTCAAGCGTTTCAAAATAAACCATTAAAGATAAAAGAAAAAAAAAAGTCAGTTCTTATCGATCTACTTTTTAATCATTTGAATAATAGCTCTGAGTTTAACAAAGAAACAAAAAAGAAAGGTCGACTTTTTACTTGAAATAATTAAGTGTTACTCATAATTCGCATGTAAGCTTTACACATTATTAGAAGAAAAATATGTATATGGAATTTTTGCCATAAG